AGACATAGCATAGATGATATCAATTCATACTTTCAGAGATAACATTTTAGTCCTTTCATTCATAACTAAGCTTAAACATTCCATAAAAATGTCTTAACTACTTCTGTACTTGGCTAACTGAGTACTAATTGAGTACTTGGTAGATCTACTCTAAGAGCAGATATTATTAAAAATACTTACAGAATGCCTTTTTGCTTCTTGGTTTCTTTGAAACTTTTGTGGATCATTGCACATTATGTGACATTTTTACACTGTGCTTTGCTCTATTCTGAAGGTGATGAACTGGTACCTCTCAGGTCCTGCTAAACTCTAACTCCCAACATTTCTTCATGCTGGTTGGAGCTGCTGGGAATGTTATTTGAGCAGTATCGTAGGAGGTCCTATACCTGTTCTTGACAGCTCCATGAAATTGTTTTAGCTAGTCAACTAAAATACAGAAGTGGGAAGAAAGCAGAGATGGAACAACAGGAATGCTCATAATGTATAATTAAATCCTATGGTTGCAATTTGGTGCTCACTTATTGAAGAGTAAACCTTATGGAACACAGTGGGGCTTTACAGTTGAGTGAACATGTTTCAGATGTCACTGTTCAGTAAAATATATTCCTAGCTCAAGCCTTCTCTTTGACTCCCAGGAGAACTTCACATATATTTTATAGCCCCATAGTCTTATTTTATTATGATAACTCAGTCTTTTCAGCCTTCCATCAGTATTTTTGAAAGTTGTCCCTGAAGATCAGGATATGATCCAGAATCATGTGTCAGAAGATGTGGTGGGCTACTGATGGAAAAAGAATATGGGCAATGAGTACTGCATGAATGGCCTTTCTACTTCTCATCCACTGTCTTTGTAACTAAAAGGAATGCAGCTGTACCAGTGATGCTTTTTCTTCATTTTTTTCAGTTGTGCACCATGCATCACATTTTAATGCAATTGAACATTTTAAAGTTATTATAATTTTCCCTATTTTGAGAGTATTTTGAACAATTAATATGGCGATGTATTTGTATAAGGATGAACAGAGGAAGTAATATAAATTTATATAGAGTAAAATAAATATAAATAATATATATTTGTGTATATACACACACACACACATATAAAATCCTTTATTATTTATATGTAAATAAAAGAGTAAAATAAATAAAATAAAAATAAAGTATCTGCACATAGGTACACATAGTAAAACAGCATAGTTGAATTAACTTATAAATGCTAAATTTTGCTTGGAGACTCATTTTTTCCTCCTTTAAATCCTTTACAAATAAACCCAATAGCTAGTTTTGAGTCTGTGTTTATATTTCTCATATAGTTCTAGGGAAGGGCAAGATACTGGTTAACCTTTGAAATATATTGTTTGTTTGGGGGTTAAAAAGGGTAGATGAGTAGTCATGCATATTAGAGCATCTCAAAACACAAACCCTTCCATTTTTGGTTCACACAGGAATCTGCCATTCAGCAGTTTGGTCTGCAGTACAGTTTGTAGTAAGAACTTGGAACATCTAGCTTCTAGTTTTTGCAGAGGAAATATCAGTTGGACATTACGAACTGCCTCTGCCTTGCTTTAATATCTCATTAATAATTCATATTATTGATTCTCTCTTGCTGAACTCATAACCCATCATCCAACACTTACCATTTTGCTGACTGATGCCTCAGCAAATCTGACTTTAAAATTGCTGATTATAGGACAGTAGACATATATAAGTATTCATAGAAATGAGCATTTAAAGATATTCACATTTCTTTGAAATTGCAGTTGGTTCAACTCTGAAATTGCACAGTTGGTCCTCCTTTCCTACTTTGTCTGGGATTGGAAACTAGGCAGGGTCAGGACTGGTTAATACTTGGATATGGGCCTATCAGGGAATCCCAGGGCTGTAGTCTAAACCATGTTGACAAACATCCTGAAAGAAGGACATAGCAACTCACTTTTGTGCATTTTGCAAAAACCCCTGGATGGATGTATCTGTGAAGTTACCAGGAGTCAAGCTCAACTTGAAGGAGGCTACTTTCCTTAAAGGGAAGTGATAGAAATGGAGTACAGGAAAATCTAAGCTTACCTATTCAAACTAGCCTCCCACAATTGCCACGGGTCAGGTGGTAAAGACAATCATTTTCAATAATTGTCATGGAAATGGCTTAAATGTGTGTTTTTAAAAATATGAGTGTGCATTTTAAGCCTTCTTTATGCATCAGAGTAAGTGAGGTTATAAACACAGAAACTGGAATTGAGTTGTACCAATTCTGCCTCTTTAACATTACATACATTATGCTTCCTTTGATACAGCTATTAGAGTTCTTTCTTGCATAAAAACCTGGGCACATACACCACCTCAAGAATCTTTCTCTGACAGTCATTAGCATTGTACTTGTGGATACTGGGAGAGGAAACTCTATCCCCATTCAGGTGTTGAGATATACACTTACTGTAATTCATGAAGAAGGCTTTTCGATGTTCATCAAATCAGGTGCTTACTATCCAGTTGCACCTGCTCTTGTAAATGTCAGATCTGGCACATACCTTATTTGCATTCTGTTTAGATGTTTGAATGTCGTCTGTTTAAGGCAACCTTTGAAAAGTAGTTGGGGATTTCAGCCTGCCAAAATTCTACAATCTGGACTGGATATTGGGAGTATGTAAGTCTTTTGTGCCAACAACATCAGAGGCTCCCTGGCTATTTAAGTGCTAGCTATGATCTGTATAACCCAGCACTGAAAGATACCTGTCTTGCTGGTCCTTTAACCTCATCTTAAAATGGAATTTGAGAGAAACCTACTTGATAACTGTTTCTAGGGCTTAATATGTTCTTGATAGCAGCTCTCAGATTCTGGAACTCCCTGTGAAGAGAAGGCAGGCTAATTTTGTCTTTGTTGATCATTCACGGCAGGGAAAGATTTAATTTCAGTATACTTTATTCAGTATAATTTATGCAAGCAGTTTTCTGCTCCTTAAATTGGTTTACTTCCTAAGAGTGTTTTCATTTGGTATATTCAGGGCTTTTTTTTCCAATCAATGTGCTGTTACTAATTTGTTTTAAATATAATATATAATATATTATTGTGGTTCTCTATGTTGAGCCCTAGGCAACTGGAAGGAGGGATATAGGTTAATAAGCATATAAAATGATGATAGGATGCAGTTAATTGTCAGTGAAAGAAATATAATAACAATGGTAAACTTTGACTGCAATGTCTTTTAGCCGTTGCAGTATAAAGATCAGCGTTTCTGCAGACAAAAGGCAGACCTCATGGAAAGGTTGAATAATGTAGTTGTCAGGGGTGCAGGAGACTTGTTCCAGGAGATTACCACCGCTACCTCCCTGCTCTGGGAAGCGATTTGGGCTGATCTTGGAGGATCAGGAGGGAGGCCTGTCTTGTTACTCGCTTCTGTGTTGTCAAATTCTTTGGGGGTGAAGGGGATCCTGAAGCTGTAGATCTATTGCTGTCTCTGCGGTGGGGAGATAGGAGTCGACTCTCATCTGTTTCTCTGCTCTGTTGGATTTATGGGCCCCAGTATAGTTACTGGGGTTGGTCCGGGTTCTTTCCCTGACTCTGGATGGCATTTTTGGGCCGTAGGGCTGAGCCAGGAGGAGTGAGGCTAGTCATAAGCCGGGAGCTTATTTCAGGAGCTGCTAGTTTGTTGCCATCTTGGCTTCTCCCCCAGCAATGGTAAATGTTTGAGGTACAGTTTAAAAGAACCCTTAAACAATGTGATTAATGATCAAATTAATGGAATTATACTTACTGTTATACCCAATCACCAAATTCCATAATCTGTCACTGCATGTTTTGCATAATTATAATAATGGACTGGAGTAAGAGAAAAATATATTGAAAATATCCTATATGTCTTTCTAAATTATATCTAGGGTATTTTCAATATATTTTTCTCTTACTCCAGTCCATTATTATAATTGTGCAAAACATTTTCAGATTCAGAATTTGAATTTGAAATGCTCTATTTTGATTTCAAAGCAGTTGTTTTGAGTGGTTAAAAGACATGGAAGACTTTATAGATTAATTGCAACACTTTTAATTAGGACTGAAAGCAAATTGATAGCCAATGAAGAATATACTTAAACTGGTGCAATAAGTTTATAAAGCTCAGTGCTTGTTCTAAGTGGAGTTTCTGGATTATCTTCAAGAGCAGTCTCATATAATGTGATGTGTAATTCATTAACATCACCTGTATCTCTTGTTCTTATTATTGTTCTCTCCTACTTCAATTTTGTTTTTGCAATTTGGATTGTATGTTGTTTTAATTCTATTGTTGTTTCTACTGTGACACTGACACCAAGGAGTCGCAAAATTGCAGTGGGAAATTTCCTCTTTTAAGAGTAGTTTTATGGTGGCTTCTGCAAAGTTGTGGCCATTTCAGTTCCCTGCAGTTACGTGGTCGTGATTTGGCACTTGGCAACTGGCTCACAATTATGACGGTTGCAGTGTCCTGAGATCACATGATTGCCATTTGTAACCTTCGCTGCTGGCTTCCCACAAGCAAAGTCAATGGGGAAGCTGACAGAAGTTTGCAAGTCGCTCCCGCTTTCACTGCTTTTTCGCCTGTCTGTGCACCTGCCTGCACTCCGTAGTGCCTGCCCGCAGCACCCACCCACCCTCCTGTGCTCCACAGTGCCTACCTGCGGCACCTGCCCACCCATCTGTAGCTCTTGCCTGCAGCTCTCACCTGCTGACCTGCTTGCCTGGGACTCCTCCTCTTCCCATCTGATGGTCATGTGAGGTCCTTGGTTAACGACCCACACAATCCTGGGTTTACGATAGCAACTGGGACTGCTGAGATTGCTGTCACTAAGTGATGTGGTCATATGATGTTGCATTTTACAATTGCATCACTTAGCAATGGAAATTCTGGTCCCAAGGACTATCTGTTTGTCATTTAAGATGCAAAATATTTTAATAATTAAGCACATCAAAGTTGTGTGAGTATCCTTACACATCACCTGTGCTTAAATATGATTATCTCTTTTACTATTACTAGGATGAAGATGGGACAGAAGAAGAAGGGAGCAGAGTAGAACCAGTGGGTCATGCAGATACAGGTTTGGAGAACATCAACTATTCTTTAGAGTAAGTTTATTTTTTGTAAAAAATATTTAATATTTAAAATATTAAAGCTTACATTCAGAAAGAAACTTGATGCTTTGAATTTTAGTGCTGAAGAAGACTCCTGAAATTACCATGGACACTCAAGAAAACAAACCAATAGATTAAAAAAAATCAACCCGGAGTTCTCACTTTAGGCACAAATGACCAGGCTCAAATTATCCTATTTAGGACACATTATGCTAAGACCTAGCTCTCTAAAGAAGGCTTTAAATCTGGGAAAGGCATCAGGTTTCTCTTGGCTAACAAGATAAAATACTGCAAGAATATACAGGTGAAACTCGAAAAATTAGAATATTGTGCAAATTTTC